GTAGCCCTGTTCAGATGTTTGAAGAGATATAATAACCATGAACAATAGCAGGATCTTCTGGCAGGAAAACTCCAGTGGGAAATTCTGGTGAGAACTTCTGGTGGAAAACTGACACAGAAGTTTTGGTAGGAAGTTTTTGACAGGTAGAAACAATGGCGAAACATAATTTTTGGCATTTGTATGTTATCTGTCTGTTACACGCCACCCTGTGGTTCGACATTGTTTCTCGGTACATCGAGGTAGTTTTCTTCAGTGGTGGTAATACGAATATAGCGAACAGAAGGAGAGAAAGAAACAAACAAGCGGTTTTTCATGCATTTAACTAGGCCAATGCCAATAATTAGGAACAAAATTCCAATGACAGTTGCTATTCCAATTTGTGCTATCCATTTTCCCCATCCAGTGAGTCCTAAAGACTCTAGGATGTTGGTAATCCATGTTCCATCTAACACTTCTGGCGGTTGCATTGCTTAAAACAAATTTCTAGTGTGGTTACTTATTTCTCTCATTGTTGTTCATGCCTCCTCAATGGAGGTTGAAGCATTATAAATTGTTACACAGCATTCGGTTTCTGATAAATTTAACATTCCACAAACACCTTGTTCTTTTAACAGTAACATGTCTAATGCTAATCTGTTTTGCAATGTCATCTTAGTAGTTTGCTAAGGGTTGTCTAGCATTATATTCCTCAAAGGTTATCATTCCAGGTTTAAATTCACCTTTACTTGATGCAATAGATGGGTGAGGGGATTCAATTTGAGATAAGATGGTTATATTTACCTTTGGACGTATTGTTTTATAATATTTGGTGCTTGACATCCAGTCTTGAGTTATATTAGGAGGTGGGGTGTAAGTTTGATAAAGGCCATGCACTATAGGGATACCTTTCCAGAGTATTTGGGCTCCGTTGGTCTTGCTGGTCCACTTTTCAGGTAGGGGTAATGGGGCTGTCACACTAGCCATGTTAAAAACAAAAGTGTGCTGGTTTAAAAGTTAACCAGCAAGGGAAAATGAACTCAATTCAAAAGAGAGATTTATAAGTCAGAATAACAATTTATTAAAATAATGCAATAAGTACAATTATACAGACAGACAATTGGTTTTAACCCACAAAACCCAAAAGTACAACCCAGCACCCTGGGGTATGAACAAAAGTGGTGTACCTTGGCCCACCCCCAAGTCCAAAGCAAAGGCAGAGGGGAAAAAAAAACCTGCTGGTGGGAGAGCTGCTGCAGTCTGGTCAGAAGTGGTGATTGCAGTCCAGTTGAGGGTGGTGGTCTCAGCCTGGTTGGGAGCAGCGGTGGTCTGCTGTCTTCCTCTGGGTCCCACGAGAGAGAGCCCCAAGGCTCTGAAACTCCCAGTTATATACTCTCCAGTTCAGGCGGGAGTGCTCAGTCCCTCCCTCAGAGTAGGGAATTCCATAAAAGGGCATGTGGATGCTCAGTCCCTCTTATCAGAGCGGGGAATTCCATATAAGGATATCAGAGCGGGGAATTCCATAAAAGGGTACAGGAACATCTTCCCACCTTGCAGGCCTCTACTGACAGCAGTTTTTGGGAAATGGCATGGAGGCTATAGAATACACAGTTTTGGGTTACACCCATCCAGGGATGAATTGGTCCCAGCCGTTCTAACCAGGACAAAAAGATAAATTCAAAGGTATCATAAAAAATCGCAATCCTTGTTCAGTAGACTCGGGTAAAGTTACACATATACCCTGATCGGTATGATTCCATATTTTTGCAAACCCTTTGACTAGTTCCCAGGCAAGGTTCTTTTGATTTTCATTTTTAGCAGTCTGTTCTGCTGAGCACATGTACAAGGTAAATAACCATACAAACATAACTAACAAATTATAACCACAGTTACCAGTAAACCGAACCATAGTCCAAATCTGAGATTATTCATTCACAGTTCTGAATACTTTTCTCCGTTGCACAGTTACCTGTAAAAGAAAAGAAAAGAGTCTGTCTGGCCCCTTTTAGGACCCAATATTAAAATGTAGGAACAATCCACCGAGAGCTTATTTTGTGTTCTTTGCCATAAGCATCTTTTGCTTTCCAGGTGTATATGTTCAAGGGAGTGGTGAGTACCATTGGTACAGCTCCTACAGAAGGTAGTTCCACTAATACAGGTTGTCCAGGAAGGTGAGAGGGTTTCTGATTACTCTCAGGCTTTGATGTTGCTGGTATCAGAGAGGGAGGTTGTGGATAAAAAGCTGTGAGTCTGGGACAGCCATTTACTCCCTATCTGTCATTCACCATTTTTACAGCATCCCATAGTCGTTCAGTCCAATTGGATTTCTGAGGTTTTAGAAATCGTTTAAGCAGGCCATTTGTTCTTTCCACTATGCCGTTTCCTTGTGGATAATATGGTGTGTGAAATATCCACTGGATTCCTTCTTCCTTGGCCCACTCCTGGACGATGGCAGCTGTGAAGTGTGACCCATTATCTGATTGGATAGATACAGATTTTGGGAAAAAACTGAACCACATTTTAAGAGCTTCTAGAATGTTTGTACTGGTTGCTCGAGGGAAAGCTTCTGCTTGCACTAATCCTGACCTGACTTCCACTCCTACTAGCACATACTATTTTCCTTCAGACTTTCGAAAGGGTCCAATATAGTCTATCTGCCATGTGTCCCACAGCCCTTTTCTGTCTCTGATATGTAAGGGGGGTTGTTCTAAAGGGTGACGCTCGAGTCAGGTTCTGCACTGTTTACATGAGGATATGCACGTGGGGCACATCTCTCGAGTTACTGACCATCCCCTGCTTCCTGCTTCTCTGTATAGGTCTTGTACTTCTGTGTGCTGTCTCTTTAAATGTAACCACTCTAACAATCTGTCCCAGTTCTCTGCAGGAGTTTTTACACTTAGAGGGGCTAATCTGGCCAGTTCATCTACCTTGTTCCAGCGGCTAGCTGGAGTTCCATTTTCTTGATGAGAGGCTACCCATCCGACTAAAAAATTCCCTTTCTTTGCTATAGCAGGAATTTCTCACCATTTTTCTTTTTGCCAAACAGGGACTCTATTCACCTCCCAGTCATTTCAGTACCAGAAGGGGAGCCACTCGGTACACCCTTTAAACACAGCAAAAGAATCAGTGTAAACATATACAGAGTCAGAGGTTTCGGCTTCATGATTAAATACACTCCAAACTGCTATTAATTCTCCGACTTGTGCACTGCCTTCTCCTTCGCTTACTATTTTGTCTCCTGTATGTACCTGTAAAGCTACAGCATGATATTTCCAAACTTTACCTTCCCGTTTAGCTGAGGCATCAGTAAACCACACATTCTGCAATTGTTCTGAGTATGGGGGTGCTACTTCAATCACAGAAGGTGGAGAATCAGCTGTGCTACTTAAAGTTACCTCATCTTGTAAGGGAAGATTTTTGCGAGCTCCCTCTGTTACCTGAAAAATGGTACAATAATGTTCAATTTGAGCATACCATTTCCGAACAGTAGCTCACTGGGCCACCCCGTCAGGGGGTGGGGTTCCTGTCAAAACAGGCTTGATGACTTTAAAGGGTCCTCTTAAAATTAGAGGCTGCTGACGGACAATTTTTTCTGTTTCCCAAAAAGCAGTACTCACCACAAATAAACCCTTTTCCCAGATAGAATATCGTTTTTCAGCATCTTTGAAACTGTGTGAATAAAACCCTATAGGTTTGGTGGGACCATCAGGTCCTTTCTACCATAAGTGTATGGACAGTCCAGAGCTTGCAAATCCCCACTCAATTTGTACTGGATCAATAGGGTGTATGGGGCCTAATGAGTGGTATGTGCTGGCCTCAAAAATCAGGAGTTGTAGGGCTTCATCGTGAAGGGGGGTCCAATCCCATCTTGCTTTTTTTTGCAACAAATCATGTAAGGGCCGTGCAATTATTGAAAAATCAGGGATGTGTTTTCTCCAAAAAAATCAGCAGGCCTAAAGCATGCTGCAAATCTTTTTTATTCTCTGGTGTTTTAAGTTGGTCTAGGCAGGTAAGTGTGTCTGGGGGAATGCAAACCATTCCTCCCTTCCACCAAATTCCCAGGAATTTTACTTCTTTTGAAGGAGGTTGTACCTTTTCGGGAGGGATATGTAAGTCCAGGGACTCAAGATGCCTGATAATGTCTGTTTGGGTTGTTTGCACAGGTGCAATCTCATTTCCTGCTACTAAAATGTCATCAATACATTGGTACACTTTTACTCCTGGTGCAGGAGGAATGAGTGACAGTTCCTGTGCCAGTGCATGATGTGCTAGAGCGAGTGAGTGTTTAAATCCTTGTGGGAGACAGGTAAAAAAAGTGTATTGCTGGCCCTCCCATGTGAAAGCAAATTGTTCTTGATCCTGTTCCTGCAGGGGAACCATAAAAAACATGTCTTTGATGTCAATACTGGCCATGATTTGATGGGCTTGTTCTTGGATGGTTGCTATTAACTCAGCTATATTTGGGACTGCTGCAGTAAGGGGTCCCGTATTTGCATTAAGACGGCGGTAGTCTACCGTTAGCCTCCAATTACCATTTGGCTTACGGACAGGCCACATAGGAGAATTGTAAGGAGAATGTGTTGCAATCACTATTCCTTTTTCTTTTAAATCTCCAATAACTGGAGTGATTCCTTCCCTTACTCCCAAGGGTAAGGGGTAAGGTTTGACATTGGTTACTAGGGAGGGAGGAAGAGCAGGGGCAGGACTTAGTAAATACAGATGTGGGATTTCTTTTCCAAAAGCCCATATGTTTCCTTCCTCATCAGTCCAAGACCTTCCCTTCAGGAGGTCTAGCCCCAGTAAATTGGTAGGAAGTTTACCCAAAATCATTAGGGTTTCAACTGCTTTCTCCTCCCCTGGCAACCAGCATCTTACCTTTGCTGTTATCTGGGGTTGTACGTTCCCAAAAGCATCCGCAACAAATACTCCTTTACGTGAGGGAGCGATTCCACATGCAGATGCATCTTCAATTTTCAGGGCAGATACCTGAGCACCAGTGTCTATTAAAAAAGTTACAGGAGTTCTGTGGGGACCAATAGGAAAGGTTATTAACAAATCTCCCTTGGAAATTTTGGTAAACCGTCTAATGTAAACCCAACCTTTGTCCCCCGGCTTACCTACTGAGGACGAAGAGAGGAGTTTCCCATCACCTCCCCCTGCTGTGATCCCTCCCCTTTCTGTGACCCCTCCAGGGCAGGGACTGTAGCAGGGACAGCTTTCAGGGATTCCTCCTTTACTGGCCATTCTTGAATTAATATTTCTAATTTATCTGTGGGTTGGCCATCCATTAGAGATTTTGGGATTCCTTTTTGCAAGCCCAAAATCCACAGGGTATTCTTTTTTTCCCTGTATCCCCCAGTGTTAGTGGGTCCTCCTTGTCCAGAGGAGAATGTTACCTTTTGGAGTCTTGCTAGAGTATTTTTGCATTCTGTGCGCCGAATTGATTTAGTATCAGTAGTAATTGAGGGTACTGGACCATATTTTCTTCCATAATTAATTAATTCCTGTGCAACTTCTCCCCAGGTCCAAATCTTATTTTCTCCACGGTAACGACTGGGGGTTAAAGCTGCTTCTAAAGCGGTTGCAGTTCTTTCCCCTTTGGTGAGGCTTTCTATTCGGTTTTTTAGCTGAATGCCAATGGACTTCAAAGTTTCAGGGAGTCCCCTGATAAGGGGAATCATTCTTTCGGGATCAACAGGCAGCATCATAGGGGATTCACGTCTTGGTGTTAATTCCCTATCATACATCATTTGTAAACAAGCAGCCTTTTGAACACTTTCTACAATCTGATTAACATTTCCCACTATAGCCAGGGGGTCTCCCCTTTCCAAGGGGTTGAGTCCTCCCGCCCAGTAAGCTGGTCTTTGAGTAAGAGACCAGGGGCCCCGGTTATCTCCTGTGGTCAGGAAAACTCCGGCTCCCCAAAATCCTTCAGCCTCTTTTTCTGTTAACAAAATTTGGTCACCCCCAGTAAGAGAAACTCTCCAAATATACTCCGTCTCAGATTCCTTAGGGGTTCTGCTATATTCCTTTTTTAACTTAGCTAATTCAGTTGCTGTATAAGGGATTTCTTTTGTAGTTATTTGAGGTGTGTCGTCATCCGAGCCCTCATATGTGTATTCTGTTTTAATTAGGGGATGGAGAGACACCGACAGCTTTTCTACTTGATCACACAAAGGTTTTAAGTCAGAGAGAGGGTATATTTCTTTAGATGACTCCAGCTCTGACTCCCTTTTGCCTTCTTTCATTAGTCTTGCATACAGCTCTTCTCGGAGCACACGGGCTGTAGCCCTTTGATTTCTCATCTCTTCCTGGGGGACAGCGGCAGTAGCCTTTTGTTCCTCCAACTGCATCTGCAAAGACTTAACTGAGTCTTGCAGTGAGTTAACCCTTTCTATGTGGGCTTTTTGCTGCTGTTCTTTGTTGTTAATTGCAGTGATTACAACTGCACCTAGTATTGAACAAACGATAGGTTTTCCTTTACCTTTTCTCACCCCTGCCCGCAGGGTAGAGATTCGGTCAACAATTGCTTGAATATTATACCAATTATCTTGTGCCCATTCCATTCCCGGAGGAGATGGCCTGGCACCAAATTCATCTAACAGATTATTAAGCACTTGCACATTATGTTCCATGTTACCACAAGTTCGGAGCGATCTTCTCCAGAGAGCCCCTCTTAAAAGTTACAGCAAATTTCCAAAGTCTCGCTCCTTCCTCTGGAAAGGTACCTTTTAAAAAGTTACTTTACAACCAAAACCGGGGTGAGCTTACCTGGGGGGCCCCTCGTAAAAGTTACCTTCCAAAATTTCACCCCTTTTCTCCCCAGAAAGCACTAAGTTACGATGTGCACATTAACTTCAAAAACAAAACAAAAGAAAACAAAAAACCTAAAGAAAACTTGTAAAGTCAAAGTCCTTAAGTCACACAGTCATAAAGTCAAAAAGGAAAGGAAGGTAGGAAGAAAGGAAGGTACCTTATTCCGATTGTTTTATCGCAGAATGATCGATCATAAAAATTAACAATTAACAGGTTTTGGAATGAACAGTTTTGCTTCAAGGATCCTGTCCGTGACGCCAATAAAGAAATGTTACAATCTGCTAAAATATTACAGAAAGAACTTTTAGATTCGAATATTCCCTTGA